GATGTACTTTGGAAAGGAGAAGATAAAATCACCTTTGAGTTGAGTACAACTCCTCATGGACGCATCCATGCAGTTTTCTTGGCAACAGTAAGAAGTGGTTTGCCATTGCCTTATCCCAAGATGTTTTTCAACATCCCAGACTAGTCTACAGTCCTGACCTTGCTTAGCTTCTGACTCCAGACAAAATCTACCAAAAGGAACAAGCTGTTTTTTCCTCTGGAAAAAAACAAATCTGAAGATATTCCCTAGCACACAAAATATGACGAAGGATGACCAATGCCTAACATTTCAGCATGCACAGGTTTACATGTAGAAGGGTACATACAACAGAAGATCTATCCTATTCCATGCGTCACATGACAGAGGAAACCTCAGGTTCCAAATGAATATTTTTTTCTCTGTACTCATGCCTTGAAAATCAATATGAAACATTTCTAGATAGTTATATTGGGAAAATAGCATACGTGGCTGGTCTTACTATGGGGCGTTTATTTTATTTTGTAAAAGTGTATTCATACTTTCCTTCTCATTTAAAGCACATTAAAACCAGAGCAATTAAAATCAAATTAAAAAAATCTCATTTGAAATAAAACCAATAAAAATACTAGGAAAAAGTCCAGTAAACTCAAAATGAGCATTGAAAGAGGAATAAAATAGACATTATGGAAACCTCTGCTGATGAAAACATTTGCAAAATATTTGATGGTAGAAAGGAGTTATTTCAGCAACCAGTTAAACTGCAGGCATTTCCCCAAAATGTTTATATGCAAATTTGTTTGTGAAGAAGTTGGCCGGGGTGTGTGTGGACAGATCTGTTCATAAAAAGCCATCCTAACAGTAATTGGATGCACTTTTGGAGTTATTTATTTAATTTAATTTAATTTATCTATCGAATTTGTCACCGCCCATCTCGTTGAACGACTCTGGGTGGTTTACAAGACAATTAACAGTTAAGGTATCTTCTCCTCTGTAAAGTTGCTTTTAATGGCAGTTTGGTAGGCAGTAGTGTTAAATTTAATGCCCTTGTCATTGCAATTATTTTGCCAATATAAGTGTGATGGAATGGAATTATGAAGGTCGAGCTCAGGGAGACAAACATTTTCTTAGCTCGCCA